TGAACACAGATTCAGTTTTTTGAAAATGCCATGTTCCACCCACAGAAGTGGTAACAAGATTTTTTATTAGTTATAGAATGAAGAAAATTATAAATCAAAGTGTTTACTAAATATATCTGGGGGGGGGTCACAGGTAGGCAGGTTATAACAAAGTGAGGAACACTGTGGTTTCCAATGCTGTCTGATGACAGTTTTAGCTTTCAGATTCATGAAAGCTAGTGGTTTGCTAAGAACACATTGTAGAATTTTGATGGTCACAGGATGCTCAGTCAGACACAGGTGTGGGCAATGGATGGCTTTCAATCTAGGGTGGTCCTAGATAATTTGTCTCTTCATAATCTTGAAGTTTAGTAATTTGGACTTGTAGAATCTGTTTTTTTAAGGTGTACACCACCATGTTGAGCTCCCTATCAAATTTATTTTTATTTTATCTTTATGTGTGTTTTTTCTGCATGTATCATAGTGCACTAGTGTCATGCAATTCCCACAGAGGCCAGAAGAGGGTGTTAGATTCCCTGGAACTGAAGTTATGAATGGCTGTTAGCCACTATGTGAGTGTTGGGAACTGAACCCGGGTACTCTGCCAGAGCAGCCAGTGCTTTTAACCACTGAGCCATCTCCAGCACCACTGGCCTTTTTTGTTTAAAAAAAAAAAAATCAAAACTTGACCCAGCATGGTGGCACATGCCTGTAATCCCAGCACAAAGAGGCAAATCTCTGTGAGACTGAGGCCAGCCTGGTCTCCATAGTGAGTTCCAGGCCAGCTGAGGCTACAAGGAGATCCTGTCTCAAAAAAAAAAAAAAAAAAAAAAAAAAAAAGCAAAATCAGCTGGGGCATGGTAGTGCATGCCTTTAATCCCAGCACTCTGGAGGCAAAGGCAGGCAGATCTCTGTGGGATCAAGGCCAAAAGACATCCCCCTCAAAAAAGCAAAATCTGAAGCTGGAAGGTAGCTCAGTCGGTAGAGTGCTTGCCTGGCATAGCCTTGGTTTTGATCCCTAGCACTACATAAAATTGACCTGAAGGCGCATGCCTGTCATCTCAGCACTTGAAAGGCAGAAGCAGGAACATCAGAAGTTCAAGACCCATCTTGGCTACATAGCGATCAACAGGAGACACTGTCTTAAAAAAAAAAAAAAGCAATTTTTTTTTCGTTTTTTTGAGACAGGGTCTCTGTGCAGTCTCAGCTGGCCTAGAACTGTAGACCAGGCTGGCCTTGTACTCACAGAGATCCCTCTGCCTCTGCCTCCCTAGTACTGGGATTAAAGGTGTGCATCACCACACCCTGCTAAAAAAAAAAAAAAAAAAAAGCACCTGCTTGTAATCTTTGTAATCTGACATTTGGGAGGCTGAGGTAGGAGGATTGCAAATTCAAGGCCAGCCTAGGCCATAAAGTGAGTTCCAAGTTAGAATCCCAGCACTCAGGAGGCCAGAGGCAGGTAGATCTCTGTGAGTTCGAGGCCAGTCTAGTCTATATAGTAAGTTCCAGACATGCTGGTGTGATATAGTGAGACCCTGTCTCAAAAGTAAATAGATAAACAAATTAAGGGGCTGGAGAGATTGTTCAGTGATTAAGAGTACTTGCCACACAACCAAAAGAACCAAGTTCAGATCCTAGCACCATGTAACAAGTCAGGTGTCCTACACACATTATAATCCCAGCTCTGAGGTTAGGCAGAGACAGAAGGATTTCTGGGGCTTGCTGATTTCCAGCCTAGCTGAGAAAATATGAGCCTCAAGGAGACTCTGCCTCAATGGAATAGGCAGAAAATGATAGAGGAGGACATCTGATGCTTTCTTCTGGCTTCTGCATGCACATAGGTACATGACTGTATACATGTATACATACGCTCATACACATTCTTGTAAATTTTTATTTTTATTTTATGTATATGAGTGTATTGTCTGCTTGTGTAAGTTCACCTGTGTGTGCAATGCCTGAGGAGACCAGAAGAGGGCATCAGATCCCTTGGAACTGGGGTTATGCATAGTTGTTAGCTGTCATGTAGGTGCTGGGTACTGAACCTGGGTCCTTTGCAAGAGTAGTCAGTGCTCTCAACCACTGAACCATCTCTCTAGCCACACAAATAAATGTTTTTTAAAAATTAATAAGTAAAATAAAATAGTTATTGTGTATTAGGTATTGCTTTATGTAACTCATACTTTCCAGGCATCCTGGGACTTAAAGAAATACATTTTTTTGACTTATTTATTTATTTTTTTAGAAGAAGCATTTCATTACAGTTTTAACATACTCAGTAAGTTTCCAGAGCAAAGATACATCTCTTTCAAAAATGGCTATAAAATTTTTAGGTTTGCTGTTGAATTAATACAGTTATATAATATTGAACTCCGTATAAGCCCTGCAAGACATAAAACTGAATGAGTTTTTAACCTTTAAAAAAGATCTCCATTTCATTTTAAAATATACTGTTTCTTACAGAAAGACTGCAAGAAATACATTTTTAAAACAACTGGTCTGTGCTGGATAGCTTTAGTGTCAACTTGACACACCTGGGTTGAGGGAGCCTCAATTGGGGAATTGCTTCCATTGGACTGGCCCGTGGCCATAGGTCTCTGGGGCATCTTCTTGATTGTTGAGTGATGTGGAAGGGCCCATCCCACTGTGGGTAGTGCCATCCCTGGGCAGGTGGGCCTGTGTTGGATAAGAGAGCAAGGGGCCATGGGAACAAGACAGTAAGCAGCATTCCTCCATGGCCTGTGCTCCAGCTCTTGCCTCCAGGTTCCTGTGCTGAGTTCCTACCTTGGGCTCCCTGATGAACTGTGACCTGGGAGATGTAAGCTAAATAAACTCTTTCCTCCCCAAGTTGGTAGTGGTCAGAGTGTTTTGTCACAGGAATGAAGACACAAACTAAGACAGAAATTGGCACCAGAGGGTGGGATATTTCTGTGACGGACCTGACCTTGGTGTTTTGGGGAGGACTGTGGAAGTCTTTGGAACTTTGGGCTGGAAAAGCCATTGCGTGCTCAGAGTTTGTTGCTGTGGAGCTTGGAACAGTTATGCTGAAAAGGTTGTAGACAATGGAGACCTGGTTTGTGAAACTTCAAAGGGAAGCGGAGACTATCAGGGCTATTCATGTGAGATTTTGAATTAAGAATCTGTGGGTTCTGGTTGGCGGGGCTGAAGAATCAGCTGTGATTAAGAAGAGACCAGAACCTGACCTGCTTTACTGGGACAATTGATGCTGATTAGCTGGGGCTGAAAAATCAGCTGTAAGTAACAAGATATCAGCATCACTGTGGTGAAGTCTTCCGGGAGGTATTTCCGCAGGGTCAGCACACAGAGGGACCCGCACCTCTATCTTAAGCTGGAAGCAGGACTTGGTAATATGTAAGAGTCTCCTGCATGGTTCTGGTGTTGAAAGCGTGAAGGGGTCACAGAGAGCAGCTGGGGCTTGGCACTCTGAGACAGGCCAGGAAAGGCTGTAGGTGAAAGTGTAGCTTCAGTTGCAGCAAAGACCCCAGGGTTGAAGGTGTCATGTAGAGAATCTGAGGCTTTGCACCCCGAGAGGCCAGAATAGGTCATTGGTGAAGGTGCAGCCTCAGTTTCAGTGGCAACCCCAGCTATTTGGAGATGCCGGGACCATGGGACAACCACCAAGGACAGCAGTAAGTGTGGAATGAAGCTGGCCTGAGTCTTTGAGACGAGCTGAGTGTGCTGTGGACTGCAGAGTCAGAGCAGTGGAGCTGCCAGTACCCTTTGGAGCCCAGAGGATCATGAGTGGAATCCCAAATGTCCAGCCTCAAGCTACTTTGCTGGACTTTGGTTTTGCTTAGGTGTGCCCGATTCTTCCCTTTGAAATAAGACAGTACTTGTTTTGGATTTTACAGAAGCCTACCCACAGTTGAGACTTTTAAAAGAGACTATGGACTTTTAAGTGGATTTTTAAAAGACTGGGGTTTTTAAGGTTGTACTGTCTTATGTTGTGATATTAATGTTAACATCATATCTTGGGGACAAGAATTGGAAAGCTTATGGTTTAATAGTGATGTGTTTGTGTGTCAAGTTGACGAGGGGTCAATTGTGCTGGATAGCTTTAGTGTTAACTTGACACACCTGGGTTGAGGGCGCCTCAATTGGGGAATTGCCTCCATTGGACTGGCCATGTCTGTGGGACATCTTCCTGATTGTTGAGTGATGTGGGAGGGCCCAGCCCACTGTGGGTAGTGCCATCCCTGGGCAGGTGGGCCTGTGTTGAATAAGAGAGTAAGCTGAGCAAGGGCCATGGGAGCAAGACAGTAAGCATCATTCCTCCATGGCCTGCGCTCCAGCTCCTGCCTCCAGGTTCCTGCTCTGAGTTCTTACCTTGGGCTCCCTGATGAACTGTGACCTGGGAGATGTAAGCTGAATAAACCCTTTCCTCCCCAAGTTGGTATTGGTCAGAATATTTTTTCACAGCAATGGAGAAACAAACTAAGACAGGTCCAAAGTTTTCATTTAAGCAATGAAGTGGTACAACTCAGGAAGAGACAGTTTCTCCATCTATGTCTGAAAATGCATTAAACACTGGGGCAGTGAATGTCCTTTTTAGCACTATCACCTATGAAAGATTGATCATGACACTAGTGAGTCCATCTTCATGCACATGAAATCAGAGGCAGGGTCTGAGAATGAGAGAGTACTGTATGGTACTTTAACCCTGAAATGCCACTCATTAGCAAAACTTCTGGGTATTTCCTTTCTGGTAAGACTGAAGTGCTGGACTGAAGTGCAAAATGACTCAGTGGGTAAAGGTGCTTGCCTACTTGAGCTTGGTGACCTGAGTTCAATTCCTGGCACCCAAGGAAGGAGAAAAATTGGCTCTATGAGAAAATTTTTCTCTAAGGAGAAAAATTGGCATCTACATGAATGCTGTGGATTGTACATACACACACACACACACACACACACACACACACACACACACACACACATACATACACCAAAACAAAAAAGATCAAAGTGATCCCTTCTGATATTTGTGTTATGCTGCTCTTTAGGAAGGTGAAGCAATTGAAGTGGATGAAGAGACCGCAGCTGTCTTAAAGAATTCACGTTTTGTTCAAGATTTTCTCTTCAGACCAGTTGGAGAAATGCTGCCAGGGTCTAAAGGCTGTTCCACAGTGGAATCAAAGGTTTGTTTGACTTTCAGTTCCCTACCTCAAACAGATTCATTTTTAAAAAACATAGGCATCCAGGCCTGGTGGCATATACCTTTAATCCCAGCAGTCAAGAGTCAGAGGCAGGAGGATCTCTGTGAGTTCGAGGCCAACTTGGTCTACATAGCAAGTTCCAGGCCAGCCAAGGCTACAGAGTGAGATCCTGTCTCAAAAATAAATAAATAAATAATTAAATTAAATTAAATTTGCAGGCTATTACTAAAGCAAGAAACAAAGTTTTCTTTGCTGTTGACTAACTTATTTCTAGAATATCTATGTCTATAAATATTTTGAAATTATAGCTAAGAAAAATCCTAGTGATAAGTCAATAATAATCTTTTATTTTTTTTGGAATATCTATGAATGAACTGCAGGGTATTTATAAGCCCCATCTAATTATATGAGTGTATGCATATTTCCTTGGGAAAGTTTCTGTTATTTTTATCAAGTTCTCAAAGGTGTCTAGGTACAAAAATGATTAAGAGCTGATGCCCTGGACATGGTACCGCATATCTGTAATTCTAATGACTAGGGATAAAGGACGAACATCACTTGAACCCAAGAGTTCAAGACCAGCATGGGTAATAAAGTGAGACCTTGTCTCAGAAAAGAAATAAAACAAAAACAAACAAAAGCCCTAACCCCATGTGAACATGGTAAATTGGCCATATTTCCTTCTGGTATTTTCAAAACTATGATAAAATTAATATAATATAAAGCTTACCATTTTAATCATCTAAAGCTTTTTACATTTAAGGTGTGTGTGTGTGTGTGTGTGTGTGTGTGTGTGTGTGTGTCTGTGTGTGTGCACGTGCGTGGGCCATGGTTCATGTATAGAGGTCAGAGGACAACTTTCAGGAGTCAGTTCTCTCCTTCCACCACATGGATTCCAGGGATTGAACACAGGTTTCTTGACAACAAGCACCTTTACCTGCTGAGCCATCTCTCGGGCCCACCTATTTTAAGTTTACAAATGTGTAACTCAGTGGCTATTTGTTCACTCACTACTTCCAGAACACTTTCATCACTCCCCAAAGTAGTTATTCCCCAGTCCTTCCTCTTACTAGTCCTGGCAGTGACTAATCTGCTTTTGTGTCTATGGTTTTGCCTCTTGGAGACATTTCACATGAGTGAACTCATGGGCTATGTAGCCTTTTGGATCTGATTTCTTTGAAGCTTTCAGAGCTTCTCCACCTTGAACTGCACATCAGTACCTCACTCCTCTTGGTGACTGGATAGTATTGTGTGTGGTGAGAACACATTTGTTTATCTGTCTATCAGCTGATTGGCAATTGTTCTCCTTGGCTGTTAGGAACAGTACTGATAGGAACATGCTTGTTTGAGTTTCTTCCTTCGGTGATTTTTGCATCTCTACCTAAGACTGGAATTCTTCTGTCCACATTTCTAACTTTTAAGAACCACCAAGCCATTTTCCACACTGCCTGCATCATTTTGCATTCTCAGCACCGTACTTAAGAGTACTGGAGCTCACGTAGTCTGTCATCACAAACACCAACGAGATTAGACAGAACTGAACTGTTCAGCTGTGCTTCATCCAGAGAGCTCGTTATCTGAGAAGACTGTGGGTTAATGCTTTAAAAACTGCCTTCCCTTATCTGTGATCAGCAGGCTTCATCAAGGCTTGGGGGAACAAAGGCAGTCAGTAATTCCACAGGTCAGCCCTGCTCCTCTGGTCAGATGGTCAGCCTTGTCCTGAGATTGATGATGTCAGCACCTCTCCTTATCTCTTGCCCTCTTCCCTCATTCTCTGACCATCTGGGCTGAGATGAAACTTCTTGAGATGCTGAGTCTAGTTAGTTTCTGCCTGCATCATTTTTATACTCCTCCAGGGCCATCTGGGTTAGGGAGGTGACTCAGAACAAACAAGTCATTAACAGTGTGTGTATGCTAAGCTAGTAAGAACATGTACATGAAGATTGCTTTTTACAATATGAACTACAAATGTGCCCTTAGAATATAAAATATAAAAATGCCCCTATCTGGCCGGGTGTGATGGTGCATACCTTTAATTCCAGCACTCGGGAGGCAGAGGCAGGTGGATATCTGTGAGTTCAAGGCCAGCCTGGTCTACATAATGAATTCCAGGACAGCTGGGGCTACAGAGAGACCCTGTTTCAAAAAGACCAAAAAAAAAAAAAATGCCCCATCTGTCTCTCCTGTCCCCCACTGTCGATACTACGTTCAAGTCCCATAAGATCTGTATCAGATCAAAGATAGCTCTGTGCTGCTGTCCATCCAGGTGATTGTTAGTATGACTTCTTTTTATAAAAAAAGTTATTAATTTTTATTGTATGTGTGCATGCATTTTATGAGCATATTGCCTGAATACATGTAAGTGCACCTGTGTCATGCAATGCCCTCAGAGGTCAGAAGAGGCATTGAATCCCTTGGAACTGGCATTATGGACAGTTGTTAGCTGCCATGTGGGTGCTGGGCAGTGAACTTGGGTCCTCTGCAAGGGCAGCCAATGCTCTTAACTGCTGAGCCATCTCCCTAGCCCCTAGTATGGCTTCTCATCAGTAGGGGAATTTTCTAGTATAAAGCTGTGCATACCAGAGCATACCCTACACAGCCACAATCAGTTATGCTGAAAAAAGATTTTTTAAAAGGAAAACAGGGAAGCTGGAGAAATGGCTCAATGGTTAAGAACACTGTTCTTGCAGAAGACCTGGATTTGAGTCCCAGCACCCACATGGCAGCTAACAATTGTTCATAACTCCAGTTCCAGGGGATCCAACAGTCTCTTCTGGCCTCCACGGGCATTGCACAACACGGTGCACTTACCTACATGCTGGCAATACACACATACACATAAAATAAAAAATAATTTTTTTTTAAAAAAAGGAAAACTGGGAAGGCTTCCCTGAGCCTCTGAGGTTCATGATCCAGTAGGTAAGAAAAGACAGATCAAATCTGAAGAAGCTTGCCAGGAGTGATGGTGCACACCTTTAATCCTAGCACTCGGGACTCAGAGGTAAGCAGATGTCTATGAGTTCGAGGCTAGCCTGGTTTGTAGTGAGTTCCAGTGCCAGCCAGGGCTACATAATGAGACCTTGTCTCAACAAAAAAGACAAAACTGAAGAACTCTCCCTTTTTTTTTTTTTTAAGTCTTTTTGAGACAGGGTCTCCCTGTAGCTCCAGCTGCCTGGAACTCACTCTGTAGACCAGGCTGGCCTTGAACTCACAGAGGATCCGCCTGCCTCTGCCTCCCAAGTGCTGGGATTAAAGGCATGCACAACCACGCCCAGCATTCTCCCCTCTCTTTTTAAAATTAAAAAAATTATTTAAAAATATTTTAAAATGCCAGGTGTGGTGGCACACGCCTTTAATCCCAGCACTGGGGAGGCAGAGGCAGGAGAATCTCTGTGAGTTCGAGGCCAGCCTGGTCTACAGAGTGAGTTCCAGGACAGCTGGGGCTACAGGGAGACCCTGTCTCAAAAAGACCAAAAAAATTTTTTTTTTAATTTTAAATTCATCAAAAACTTTATTGTATGAGTGTTTTGCCTGCATGTATATAAGTATGTTCATGTGTGCAGTGCCCATGAAGGCTAAAAGAGGGCATTAGATCCCTTGGAATTGGGGTTCTGGATAGTTGTTAGCTGCCATATAGGTGCTGGGAACCAAACCTGGGACCTCTAGAAGAGGAGCCAGTATATTCCTAATGGCTGAGCCATCTCTTCAGCCCCTTTTTGGCCATTTTTAAACTGGGTTGGTTGTTTTTGCTGTTTTGCTGTTGATATATATATTTTCTGCCTATATTGCTTTTGTGGTGCTGGGGGTTGAACCTAGGCCCTTGCACATTTTAGTCAAGCACTCTAACCCCTGATCTATACCCAGGCATGTAAATGTATATTCTGAATACTAGACCTTATCAGATATATGTTTTCCAAAAATGTCTCCCATTCTGTGATTTATTTTTTTGAGACAGGGTCTCATGTATTCCAGAATGGCCTTGAATTCAGTATGTAGCTGAGGATGGCCTTGAACTTTTGATTCTCCTGTCTCTACCACCTAAGTTCTGGGATTACCAAACCCAGCTTATGAGGGGCTAGAGATTGAACTCAGGGCTTCCAGCATGGTAGGCAAGCACTCTACCAACTGAACCACATCCTTAGTCCATTGACCTATCTATTTACTGTCTTGATAATATCTTTATTACACAACAGGTTTTGATTTACTCTTGGTTTTAATTTGAAGAACTCCAGTTTGTTTTTCCTTTAGTTATTGGTACTTTTGGTATCATGTCTAAAAATCCATTTTCAAATGTTTTGAATATTGTTCTAATTCTTTTTATAGCTTTGCTTTCATGTCTTGAAATTTATTTTACATAACAACTGAGGTAGGACAGTACTGTACAGTGTGTTGCTTGCATGGGTTGCCCCAAGGGACCTTAGAGTCAGCCTTTTTTTTGTTTTTGGGTTTTGTTTTTTTTTTTTGGTATTTTTGAGACAGGGTCTCCCTGTAGCCCCAGCTGTCCTGGAACTTACTATGTAGACCAGGCTGGCCTTGAACTCACAGAGATCCGCCTGCCTCTGCCTCCCAAGTGCTAGGATTAAAGGCGTGGGCTACCATGCCTGGCTAGAGTCAGCCTTTTTTATGGGCTGTTCATATTTGATCTTATGATAACTGGGTTTAGGTTCCAGGCAGGGTGCCTTTGGGAAGCCCCAGGGTGCAGTGGCTAGAGTTCACTATGGCCAGGTTATCACTTCAATCTGCACCAAGCTGTAGAGCAAGGAGAGTATGATGGAGGCCCTACGCAGGACCAAACTCAAGTTCCCAGGGCACCAGAAGATCCAGGTCTTGAAGAAGTGGGGTTTTCACAAGATTAATGGAATTGAATTTGAGGACACCATGCCTGAGCAGTGGCTTATGTCCAGTGCTTGTGGAGTCAGATATGTCCCCAGTCATGGTCTCCTAGATGAGGTATGGAGCCTTCACATATGAGGGCTTCCACG